GCTCTTCGTAAACGTCAGCATTAGTTGTTCGCTTAATGTCAAGCGATTCCCGAAACAGCATGCCCCACAATAACAGAAAATCGAAAACATAATCTTCCGAGCACAAAAGTTCAGCTTGGTTGAGCTGGAGTGTTTTTTCCGCGAAATAAGCAGTTGACGCTGCTCTTATTGTTTCCGTAATTCAGGGTTCATCTCCAGATGGTGACCAACTTGAGCAAGCCATGTCTGTGCGATCGCAGCAGAAGACTTTGCAGATGTTCACGCGTGCAGCGCGGCAGTGGTCAATTACTGCATGAAGTTTTTATCGAGACATCACTTTGTGTCATCACTTTACATTAAATGGCGAGCGATGGTGCCACTGCCGAATGGCTAAAGCAACTAGAACATTCTTCAGCGTGCCACAGCCTTTTGACTGGCCGATTTGAAACAGAAATAAAACTGAATTGATCCGTAGTGTGGAAAAGTTATGCGACAACCCAACACAATCGAATACAACGTCGGCCATGACCATCATGGTACCTTCCGACAGTTAGTTTCGCGTACAGGACTTTTTCTTCAGTTCCTACAATTGTAATAGTTCATCCAAAGCAGATGTGAGACTGCAGCTCGTCTCGAAAAGGTTGCGCACTAAATAATTTTTCATCTGATTGTACACAAAAAACCTGTCAAAGTCATTCATTTTAGAGACCACAAATTGCTCTGCTTGAGAGCACAGACCGTTTCTGTTGTATTTGCTACGTTCACAAAGACGTCTTATCTCTCGCTCTCAGCTCATGGATGTATACCAAATTCAAGGCCTAACTCACTGCGTCCGCTATAGAGGTAACATCGGCCACTTTTTTGGGCGATTTAAAAGCGTTTTCTATTTCATTTGTTGTGGTTTCCACTCTATAAACAATTTTTTGCATTTTCAAGAATGTCAATCAGTTCATGAATGTACTCTTCACATCAACCACAAATTCATCAACCCAAAGATGCTCCAGGTTTTTCTTCTCACCTTTCCATGTTTTTGAGGAAGGCACAACTTCAATAATACATTATGAATCAAACTCATTTACATTATAAATATATGCTCTCCTTTTCCTTTTCAGCTTAGGAGACATTGCTGTGGGATCAACCCTCTGCTATATTTCGCAGTCCGGCACCCAATAATACCCTCTCGGCTACTATGAGACAATAGACGACGAAGAGGAACAACGAAGTGCATGGGAAAATGATTATGCGTATTGCATGCGATGTTTGCTAAGTATTTTAGATTTCAATGAGATTATGAAAGATGAATTAGTCCATTATTCTATGGATACTAGTGCTTCTATATATTCGTATTTCCATCGCATAAATAAAATTTATTGTAGCGATTTCAAGGCAATAAACCATATTATCTGAGAAATTTATAAGTTAGTGCTTACTCCTTTCACAGAGAAATGGTATTGGCGACAATCAATGTACTCTACACATCCAATCACTTTTAAAAGTTCGGCGATTTATGATCTTATCATAGTGAAAAGACGACTCATTGTTCAAGTACAGCATAGATTGACTACAAGGCGTTCAAAAAAAGCTTTTGTGCTCAAATAAACCACTTCGAAAAGTAATGCGACCAGAAATGTCTTGTAATCTTTCAAATGCTATAAATTCTTAGTGCCGCAAATACGCATGATTTTTCACGTATAATAGTATGATTATGAAGGGCAGCTTATGTGTAATATAAAGCTAAAATAAAGCTCTAGGCGTTGATCAATCCCTGAGGGATGCATCATGCATTCGTCTTCAATTTCTAACTTCGTTTGAGGTGATTGAATGCATATCTGGCCTTTACAATGACTCGCGGTGGCCTCCCGCTGAACCGAGTCAGTGCTGCTTATCCTCCCAGACAAGTCTGAGACCAGTCTGGTCCCAATTTACCGACCCTGGAGGGATGGATGGCTTGGTGAGCCATGAGCGCGCGATCGAACTATTGACCTCGTGTGCGACGCAGAGCAGCTGTAACCACTGAGCCACATGTGCTCTGTGAGCAATATATATATATATATATATATATGTTTATATATATGTAGGGGCCAAATTTCAATTTTTGCGGCGAAAAGCCGAACTATCCTAACCCAAATTGCTAGGAGAAAATGCAGCTGCGCGACTTTTCTTCAAAGTGCATAAAACAAATTTTCATTTCAACAAATCGGTTATCCTCCGCACATAAGGAAAAAATTCTGCATATTTCTTATCGTGCATATGCTCCATGATTTTGTCTACTGACTCTTGTGTTTGACGCATAAATAAATCTTGTGCGGAGAAAAAAGGCTACTCACATATTCACAGTTATAGCGAAAACTTCTGACAGTCAAAAGTGAGCCATAGAAACCAAAGTATCAAAAGCGCGTTTCGATGATTATGGTCACAGTTTGGAAAATGTCCATTAGAAGTACTAAAGTTTGTGTGTAAATGGGGATATTTGCACATAGGCTATACTCAATAGCATGGTTTCGCAATTTGATGAGTGGAAGAGAACATGTCATTAGGGTAGTAGGAGTTGACAGCACTTAGACTAAGTAAGGCGTCTATAGATGCCGTACATGTTTTGAATGATTCATTATGAAGTACAAAAGCTTTTGACTGGACTTTTTTGTTATATAGTCAACCAGTGGCTTATCAAATGTAGACATGAACCCCAAGTGGCTTCAAAAAGTTTTTCTGTAAATGATTTTCCACTTGATCATTTGCAACGAACGTCGTTATAGAAAAGGGAAAAATGTTCTGTAGAAACATTTCAAGAGACGAATTACCGATAGATACAAGCAATCCTGAACAAGAATTTGTGCACCAAGGTTGACCATTGGAAAATGTGGAGTTTTTTTGAGAGGGACTTTATCGACGATGAGTTGAAAGACTTGTTTCTTTCCTGAAAAGTGCTTTCATCGTTGAAAAAGCTGTCGGAATGTTTCATGGATAGCAGTCCCTAATATTAAATTTGATGAGCCAAACATAGAAACAGATTATGATACTTGAACGTTCTTAGAACCTGGATTTTAACATATGGGGTGTATGAGATACCATAGCACATTTTGGCTCACAGAAGAACTAGCTCCACTACGTCAAAGGTTCAATATTGAGTGCGAACGGTGAAGTTATTTCTCTATTTCTTCAACATTTGCGTCTCTCTCTGAAAGGTTCACCGTCTTCCAACGAGGTATAATGCAATCAATGGGTCAACCTGTAACATCGCCATAATCTTCTCATGCAACAAATTGGTTTTAGAAAGCTGTGGGTGCCTTATCTCAATTCAACCTTGCTGTAAAAGCACCTGAGATGTTTCTAAACTCCTACTCGCTTTAGGTTAAATCATCAAAATGAACTGATTTCTTTGCTGCACGGAAAAATTTTGAAGCAAATTTTGAAGAGGGAATTTCTTTATTGGTAGTTCTATGATTTAGGCAATCACTCTATTAGTTTTTTTACTTTCTGAGAATCTGTCGCCCCTTTCGAGTACTGTTTTTTTAATTGAGTCTGGTTCTTTTTCAGGCTTTCCAACAAAGCTAATTGCACGGGCACTATAATAGCGTCAGTGGTTAGTATATACCAGTGAACATTGAAACTGTGGTGGGCCTCAGCTTGCAAAATGTTACTGCTTTCAAGTCTCGATTACAGCTTATAATTAACAAACGAACAAAGGGGTCTTTTTCGATTCTATACCCTGCCTTTCCGAGCCTCCCCTCGTTCCGGGAAGCGAGTTGCTGCCAAACTTATCCGGGAAGGTACCAACACCAACTTAGCTCGTTTAGTAAGCCGTTAAGCTACCAAAAATCATTTCGTAGGCCAAATATTGCAGGAGAAAGAGTACCACAAAGCGAGGTGACCAGCGATGCCTTAGTTTAACACCCTCCCTTACTGGTAACGCCTCAGCTGGGTGTTCTCCGAAATTGCAAGAACAATCGTCTCATCCAGCATTCTGCAACATCCATAAAGAACACGAATTTTCAAGCAGCAGTCAAGTTATATGTGATATTTGAAAAAAAATTTTGTGAAGTGTGCATGTGAGGAAAGAAATCGAATGCAAGAGGACTTGGGACCTGTCCAATAAATTGTGAAAAGGGTCGCATAAGAAAAATATGCATTCAATCACTCCTGCAATGGTTGATGAAGTCGAATATAAGGAATATCCTAGAACGGTGTGCCCTTAATCTTTTATCTTCTCTCTTTCTCTCTCCCTCTCTCTCAATCCAAGGTAAGAAAAAAGGTGAAATGTGTCATTCGCGCATTAATATGTTTGTCATAATGGCAAAACCTCTATCTTAATCGTTCAATTACGATCTCACTTGCATCTCAGCATTTACACGATGACGTGATCTTTATGAGCCACTTATGACGATACAATGTGGCCAGTACTACTTAAGTGAAGATGATTTCCTTTCTGATAATTTATTTCAGCGTAATGAATCCTCTTCTCGCAACTCTTGAAATAAGTCGATGACTTATCCAATGTATTTGTCGTTGTCCAGGGTCATTGAAAAGGGGAAGCTTTTCTTGAGCAACTCTATTATTCAATAGTCGACTAGTGATTGACTGCCACTGTAATTCTGATCACTGTGAAAACATTGTAGTGACTGAGCTGTGTAGGTACAAAATGCGACCTAGCTAACACTCATAAAATCTGGGAGCAATGCGTCTTATGATATGCTATAGTAACATATTGTAAAAGCATCCTCTCGTCTTTCTTCAAGTCTTCTAATTATCGAAATATCTTTGTCTTTCAAATATACCTAAGAGAACTGAGTGATAAGCAAAGACTTGACCTCAGGCGAGAGCTGAGCTCGCGGCTCACCCATACCGAAGATGTGTGATGCCACTACACCACATAAGCACAACTTCGCTATTACTCATTTTTCAATCTCTCTACGTAGCTATCAGCCACCTCATATGATAGGTATGGTCGTGTAAGCAATATCGTTTTATAAACATAGTTAAGCTGACAGCCATTGTGTTACGTAATACGTAAGAATTCTTGTGCCTCAGTGATGTAGTGGTAGCACTCGCCCTTGGTATGGGTGAAACGCGGGTTTAATTCCCTCCTAAGGTCGAGTTTTAACTCACTACTCAATTCTTTTAGGCATATTTGAAACATCATAGCACTGCGAAAGAGCAGTAAAAAACAAACGAAATCCTGGGTACTGGGTATTGCTGTCTTTATTGGAAAATCTTAACAGTATGAAATTAGATATAGTCCTTGAAGCAGCCGAGGAAAATTAGGCGCCGTCCCATAAGTGTTAAGTGAGTGCTTCATCAAAATTTTATGGAGTGCAAGTTAAATAGTATTATTCCTCGAAAGAAGCACTGCCTTAAACATATCGTAGATTCGTTCTTGTTCTTAAGTAAATGTCTGAAATCTTCATCGAAAGGATCAATTTATGTTTGATTGCACGTTCTTTCTCAATTCCCTTAAATTCAGGAGCTTACTGAAGTAGTTCTCGATCTTCGTTTGACCTCTGCAATGCCAATATTTCATATTTCTCCGGTGATTAAGCCAATAGTATCATGGCAATTGAATAACTTTGTTCGCTAACGTTTCGATGTTTTAGTCTTTCTCACAGTCAATGACCGAAGTCGACATGAACGATTGTGGACAATCGACTTTAATCATCGGTTTTAGAAATGAAGAGGTCAATGATTAGCTGGATAATGATTTTTCATCAATCTCGCGCTACTGACTTAGTCAAAAAAACATTTTAGTGTGCTTATCTTTAGTATTATTTTAGTAGAGATATCACATTTAGAGATGTTCTTTGCAAAGGAGATCCACAGAAAACCTCTATATGATTGATTCCTCTCACGTTTCGATTATTAATTAAGTTGAACGTACTTTTGGTAGCACCAATCTTCATTCCCATTTGGCATGCCGATTATTGTTTTCTCATTGTAGGATGCGATGTGAGACAGCAATTGATACTGTTTAAACATGGCTGAGAGAGTTGCAGGGCGAAAGCTTTAGTAGTTCTATGAGTAGCAAATATGTCCCGGACTCAATCACGACTTGATGCCACTCCGTGCAAGATTTCAAGTTTTACTCGTATCTCAGCATTTTTTTGTGGTTCTATAAAAGATAATCAGCATCTACACGATTACCAAAGGCATAGCTTCAGCCTAGAGGCTGCCTTGAAAACCCATAATCTCCTCTATGAAAGCGACTCTACCATGATAGAGGTTTAGAAGCTATTCCGCCTTACAATAATTGTCGTCATTTGATGGACGCTTTTAGCAAGCGCTGCGATTAGAAGTGCCTTGTGATGCACACATGGCTTTTGATCTGATTTATTTCCTAAAACAAATAAGCCCTTTTCTCCTCAAGAGTTGACAAACTGATATCAAACACGTATGGGACTGTGACTGCACTGGTTTAGTACATGGGTAGGCAAAGCATGACAACTTGAAGACTAAGCGAATGGGATAACACCGCAATCAGAGTACTTCAAGACAGAATGTCCAGCTACGCGCTCTTCTACAATTCACACAGCTTCTGTCTCAAAAAAACATGATGAACCAATGGAGTGGGAAAATCGGCACAGAATCGACTCTGCCTGAAAATAGAAAGGAAGGATTCTCGTATATGTCGCTCAGGTTGTTTCTTGAGTGTATTCTACAAGCTGAACGCGAAATCCATTCGGCTCTTCATAGAAACAAAAAAAAAACTTTGGATAGAGCTCATTTACTATAGCAGAGTTGGTTTATTAGCATGTACTCGACGAGGCTGGTTTTTTGAGAAGTGAACGCAAATTCTTAATTACTATAGTGCTTCTTGAGTTCAGGTCGAAAGACTTTCATAAGAATTGTTCCATGGCATTAATCACATCAATACCATTACCAAGCGCTCTATTTGGTTTAGTGTGAAACTCAGAAATCTAAAAAGTTGAAGAATGGATTATAATTTTCGTTTGTAATGGAAAAACGCACCTGTAAACATAAACATCAATTACTTCTGGCAAATGGATTTCGGTTGCTCATTTGTATTCGCGCTCAGATTATGAGCTTTGAAGCAAAGAAACAAGAGAATTAGCTTTGATGGTTACAAGAAAACGCGAATTCCTTTTTAGTAAAGCAGAATGACCTTTTTGTCGGTATAGATTTGTAGGTTCTAACTGTTTTTATTGGAATTGATGAAACTCATTATAAGCTCAGATGTGCCGATTTGACATTGAAAATCGGACGCCATTTTCGCTTTAAATGACACCTATAGAAGTCACATCTCTTCGAATATTTAAAAAATTTGCGCTATGTGATTATTACAGGAGAAATAATCTGCAGGCAAGACCATTTTGCCTAAGTTGCTCGAGGACGTATTGATTTAATGAAGTTAGTCTAATAGAAAAAAGATGATCCCTTCGAACCTATTTTTTATATAGAAAGGATATTCTGGAAATGTATGAGTCGTGGAGAGAAATAGCTGAGAAGATCAGTTAGACTTCAATTGAGATCAAGAGAGAGAAAAAACTAGTGAGTAGCGCGGAAGCAATAGAATAGAAATACACACTCCACTCACAGTGCGCCAGAATGGTGTCCTTGAAAATATCACTGATACGTGCAATATTAAATTGTTCCGTTTGTTTTAAACTTGTAACAATACACGATTTTCGAGTATGAATAAGTAAATTGAAAGCAACACGCAGGCTGGATGCTAACGTCGTAAGAGGAGTTGAAGGCAGACAGATGAGAAGAGCAGCAATGTGAACATTCGAAATTAGAGACGTTTTGTTAAGCAACTATCTCAACAACGCATTTTCTAAATTACTGAGTCCACTCAAAGCTATTTTGAAATTTCATTGTGGCTGTGTTAGGTGTTCTCCCTTTCTTCAGAACCGCAATGATTTCAGTTGATTATCTGCAGTCAGACAGTATTCCGATGTGTGTTCTCGTCAGTTGATGAGGTTTACTTTCATGAAAACATCTCAGATTACTACAGAATGGTGGCATCCGTTTGTCATTCAAAACTGGCTTATTAGCTAACAACCTATGGATGATAGATTGGCACTCATTCTAGTCATCACGAGGAATAGGTCATCATCATCATTGCTGCCATAACAAAATAAAAATATTCGCGGCCCGTATGAATCGTGACCATGGGCCATCCAATTGACCTAATAGAGGCTGAAGTTGATCAGATCATAAATAGGGAGCGAACTGCGCAGTGGACAGTGATGTACGCCATCAAAATCAGGGTTCGATCCCATCTTCCTGGCGTTCTTCCACAATCCCACATGGGCCATTTTGGCTCTTCCAACACCAAGATTTCAAGGAGAATCGCCTCGATCGGCATTCTACTACTTTCATGAAAAAGACAAAATCCTCAAGCAGCAGCTGAACCGTCACACGAGTTCTTCGAAGACCTTTGTGGAGGTGAATTTGAGGGAACGAATCTCATAGCGTAGGAGCTGAGATTAATCAGTATATGCTTTAGCGGGTCATGTGAGAGAATAGTTGATTTGAAAGTTAAGGCCAAAGTTTTGACTTAGTAGTTAGCGTTGTTTGAAAAATAACCTCAATAATTTCCTCAAATCCTTCAACACTAAAAGATTCACTGTGATGTGTATGTAGACTCAGAGTATTACCTTTCTTTGTTAATAAACCAATTATAACAGCCAGATTTTTCATAAGAGGAGTTTTATCGAATAGAAAGCTCCGTTACTCAGTACCGCTGCTCAAAGTCGTAGTGTCGCAAGAGAAAAAGAACGTTTTTCATCTCATGGCCGTCAAAATGAGCTCGTAGTATGACACGATTACTCTACAATCTTTATCCGATACAAATAATGTAGTAAGGATTACTGTCAACAACAAACTGCATGGCCTAAATATAACATAACTGTGGATGTATATTTTCGCTGTTCTCTAGTGTTTGTTCAGTAGATCCTTCCGTAGTTTTTAGGGAATAGAACTCTCAGGATTGGTTTCACATCAGACTTTACATGAAGTAAACCGTTGTTGCGACAACAGTTCTCAGGAAATTTTTTGTAAAGTAAGCTGAAACAGTGATATCTGAAGATTTGGACTTTTTGAAGTACTACGGTTTCGTGAACTTATCGTATCTATTCATTGGAAAGCGATTTGCTAACAACACTTTCACACATTCTGCCGTTATGACAGCGCCGCCTAGCATGTATTTATTTTATGGCAGTAGAACACCATGTAAAGAATTTAAATTGCTTTTCTTGTGTTTAATTATGTTGTAAGCCTATATTTCTTTGACCTACAGTTAGTTTACCACAACAGCTTTTAGTAGTTTTCTGACAGTTCTACTTCAATGTAAGCATTCCCTAATCTTGTAACAAAGCCATACTACCTAACAAAACTTGTCTCTTAATAGATAATTTCTAATCTTTTCCAGTATATCTCCCTAATCTTGTAACAAAGCCATACTACCTAACAAAACTTTTCTCTCAATAGATAATTTCTAATCTTTTCCAGTATATCTATGAAAACTTCAAAGATGCGAGCTTTCTTGTAAAATTTTTGACTGAAGATTTACTCAATTGCAGAAATACCGTTTTAAATAAAAGATTCTTTGTGAAGAACTCAAAGAGATGTTGGCCCAGGGGAGAAAAAGCGCAGGAAAAGTATATGAAGTGGAAAGATGGCACTAATAATGAAATATGTTCCAAAAAATTGCTCGAAATGTTCGTTATTGAATTTGCCTTCTTCCAACAGAAACAGCTGTAAAGCTTCGTTGTGCGGAAAAGCCTAATTCCATGACTAACTTTAAAGTAGTCAAAGTAGTTACTGCTCATTTCGCCTTAGTCTTTACGACGTGTAGAAGTCAGCGAGCTTTTTGACTACTTCAAAAATTTCTTACTTCTCGCCTTCTTAACTTTATAGTGATTAGTTATGTAAAGTATGCATAGAATTTTCAATTTCTTCCGTATCCTTATAGCTTCACCACTTTGGCGACCGTGGGTTCAGATTACTACACACGCTGCGCTTTAGTTCCGTCCAAGACCATTTTTGAGCCCCTTTTCATTTTGTGAAACGCAAAACTTTCTGCAGAACTCGTAATTACAGTTTGCTGTGCAGATCCCAGTACTTCGTGCATTCGAG